GTGAACGCATTTTTTTTACTGACATAATAAGCTTATTTGCACTGTTTTGTTTTTCTTGTCAGGTTTAAGTGGCAATTGGATTGAGATAGCATATGGTACAAGCTCAGGAACAGTGCGAGTGATTGTTCAACATCCAGAGACAGTAGGTCATGGACCTCAACTCTTCCAAACATTCATGGTTCATCGAAATCCCGTCGTGAAGGTCATGCTTAGCGAAAAGAATCTCGTCTCCATTTGCTCAGAATACAATCACGTGCGCTCGTGGAACGTGACACGCTTTCGCGGCATGATCTCCACGCAGCCCGGTTCCACGCCCCTGGCGTCTTTCAATGTTGTTTCTCTTGAGGCACAGGACGCACATCCTAGCTCATCAGCTGGCAGCGTCATCGGTGAGTAACATGTAAGCGTGAGGTCAAGATGGCTGGATATTGGCCAAGTTCTTTTTCTGATTGTGATGGAGTCGAGAACGAGGCCGGTATCCAGCCATCTTGACCGAACAAGCTTGGTCAATAAAGGTTTATTATACGGTTTTCGGGGAAATTTTTCTTGCGGGACACAGCGGGTAGATCCGAGAGGGCAAGATAGCGCCATCTTGGCCGCTCGGGTGACCAATCACAGCGCAAGATTTGGTTCATGTTGCCCGCTCACGGAGCTAGCCATTTAATAAGAGCCATTTATGTGTATTGTTCCTTATCGTTACTTAAATTAACTTAAATAAGCTGCTGATGTGGCGAGCGAATAAATTTTCTTGTGCCAAAAAGAAGCGTTTTTGCCTGTCTCAAAGATTAAATCAGAAAGCTGTTATATCACCTGATGCAATCAGAGTACGTCGTGTTACTGGAAACCGCCGGTTCATTCTGTTGTGTTGACACGCCCAACTGACCTACTTATCTATTGTCGGTCCCAGGTCCATTCGGCGAGCGTGACGATCAACAAGTGTTTATTCAGAAGCTTGTACCGGACACGGATCACGTGATCGTACGGTTCTCTTCCACAGGGAAAAGGTAACAACTACGCGTTAATTTTACCTAACGCTATAATACAATGCTGATCGCAGTAACGAAGCTTGTTTTAGCGGTTGCTACATGGTAAGGTTTTGAATCAATTTATGGTGACAGCTTGCGATAATTAGAAGCTTCAGGGACTCTACTCAGGAGGTTGATTGACGTCGCAAAGCTGAGAAGTTAAAGAGATAAAAGATGGATTTATTAGTCCGGCATCCTAAACCATTCAGCCTAGCTGAGTCTTAAAATCTCTTGGGTAGAATCAAGAGTTCATTTCTCTTGACAGAATGCATTCGCGTCTGTTTAGAACGTTGGTATTATTTTTTTCAGGATCTGCACAATTCGCTCAGTGGACGGCAGTAATATCACTTCATATTGCGTGCACGAATGTGACGCCTCGAGCAGAATGGGTTCCAGACCCCGGCGATTCCTGATAACAGGCCATTCAAACGGATGTATTCAAGTAAGAACACAGAATCTTATCTTTCCAAAGCAACTGGTGTGTTCGCCTATAGTAGGCTCTTCGCTCAAAGCAAATTGATCTATTTATTTTTGTGTGTGTGGTGTCTAGATGTGGGACCTGACAACAGCACTAGAGATTGCCTCCAAGCTGCCTGGCGAAAACACAGGTTAGAGAGATTCTGCTCCGATAAATTACTAAAATGATACCTGTCTGCGGTACAAATTCAATCTGTATTGTAAAGGAGAGTTGTTAGTCTTAGACTGTTGACTCTTACAACGAAGGGTCATTCGCGTTTCCAGTTTTTGTGTTGTGATGATCTGACCAAAGCCCATTTACCAAGACTTTTTGAACCGCTTTGGCTAGGAGACGCAAAATCCCAGCCCAAATCGCTAAGGCAGAAAATTCTGATGGGTGGAAGGTTAAAAAAATGCTTTACATAACAGCGACTTCATAAACTGTAAGACAAAAAAATTCATATTCTGTTATACTTTCCAGCATTTATTCTCGAAAGTGCACACTGGATCACCAAGCGCACGGAATATTGTCGTTGTCACTTTATGTTCCTTATGTAACGCCTTCTGTTACTCTTTTTTTTTTTCACAGAGCGTGACGATATTGGTAATGTCACACAAGGAGAACTGTTACGGACACTCGAACAATGTGACCTCAGTGCGTCACGCTGCACGACGCCCTCCATGTCGCCAGCCACGTCACTGCTGCACACAAATCTCACGGGCTCGCGCCTCAAACTCTCGTACTCATGCCCTAGCTTGGGCGAAGATGACCGCGAAGAGGCTGGTGCCAGCGGAGGAAAGTCCAAATATGGCATTCTCATCTCGCAGTGTTAGAGTCTAAAATATAGGAGCATACTATAGAGAACAGGCGCGAAATACAGTGAATTTATAGCCGTAGCCGGCTTTAAATATTTAAACCTAACCACGTTGGATTAGACAGTGAAACGCACAGGCTAGTGGAAAAGTTCAGTTCTCGTATGTTTCAATTTCTCGATGATTTGTGAAATCTATAAAATTGGGAAAACGCACTCGTTTTCATTATTGAATTGATTGTATTATCAGAAGGAGAGTCGTGCACAATGTTTGAGTTTGATATCGGTGTTTGCTGTCATTTGGACTCGAGAGATACGCCAAAAATGTTGAGAAAAACTGTACAAAGTTGCAAAAGCGAAATATTCCTAGTCTCGTGTGATTCCGCGTGAACTTGACCCTGGTTTGGACGATTGAAAAATGTTTTCCTCTTGTCACTCTCACACTCTGAACCAGGCTCCTAGTTATTTTTCAAAATGAAATTACCACGAAACGTTAACATGGGTGAGATATTATTTGAAATTTCTTATCAACGTCGAAGCAAAATTACAATTCGCGGGGCCAAATTTTCGTTTCTTGATGATGGCTTTGAAAAGCAATACAACGAAGGTCCAGCCCGAATTGGAGAATTATACAATTACATTGAAGGTTTCTACTGCATGAAAACTACTGCGAGGTGTCATGATATGAGCCCGCGATTTTCGCATTTTAAGTTTCTAAGCAACAAACGTGCCCCTATCGCGTCATGTCACCTAACAGCTATTGTAGTTCTGGTGTTTGTTTACGCTGTTTTTTGATTGGATGAGAGGAATCGGAAGCTCTTGAAGTCAGTCAGCATGGAACTTAAAGGAGCTACGTCACGGTTGAAAAGTTAAGCCTGAATTATTTCAAGCTTGTTGTTTGTAATCCGTGTTAATCTTTTCCATCCTTAACCATCCGTGTTCCTTTATGGTTTATTAATATCTCTTCGGTGTTTTTCTATCTTGGTAAACTACTATTTTCAGGTTTCCTTAAGTTTAAAGGTAATTTTGTTCGTGGCCAAAATAACTCAAAATACCGTGACTGAGTTCCTTTAATTCTCAGAGTCGTTGGGAAATGATCTTAAATGAAATTGGGAAATGACCTTGAAATGATCTCGAAAATAAGTGCGTTTGTGAGATAAATTCTCTGTTATTTAAATGTACACAATTTTAATGGTTTGTTTCCCGTTGAGAACTTGTAGATTTATTTAAGAAGTGGAAATAAAGATTTTGGATGAATTTTTTGTTATCTTCAAGATAGTTGAAGTGATGCAGAGCCGGCAGTGTAAAATCGTTGAGGGCTTCCTGCTAGGTCCCAAACAAATAAAGTGATGCACAACGACCTTGCAAGGGTAAAAATGGCTAAGTCCCGACTAATCCAAGAAATCAAGACAGCCTGTAAGCTCATTCTCAGAGTTTGCATCAGGTAAAGAAGCCCTTACCGGTGGAGTTCATTAAGGCACCCTCCCTGGTCCCTTTCTCCCTTTCTAACCCTAAACCCTCGAACCCAAGTCCGTCGCAGGGCTCCCCCCAAATTTAAATTCGCCGTTACCGTTAACATACTTTATTGTTGGAGTTATGTGTCTTGCCCAAGAACAACTCAATGCTGACCATTTGGTCCCCGCGTCTCTTACAAATTTCACAGGGTTCAGTGCCTGTAGCATGAAGCGACCATGGTCTTTTTCATTGGTAATATTTTTCAGGTCGCCAGTTACCCATTCATACTCCTGAGTGAAAACCTGCTCTAGCTTGGGAGCGGGCTCTTCGTGGTGAAAGAGAATTCAAAATCGGACCAGAAGGAGCTCGGCGACACATCTGTTCCCTTTCGTCCGCTGAGACGAAAGGCTGCTTTCTTTTGGGAAGGTCCCGATCAAGATTTTAGCCCATGATGAATCTAATCCTGGTGCATCAAGGGAAACCCATGTACTACGATTATAAGTTGAGTAAGGCGCGACGAAAGTTTGGTCATCGGGTTTTAACGTAAAAATCGTGTTGTTGTCACGGGCAACTGGTTCCGTTTCCAGTGGCAATTTGTCGGCTTTGATGTCATTAACAGCAAAGCGCGCGAAATTGTACGCGACGCCACAGGCGACGCACGGCTGTTGATATCAATGGAAACGAGGTAAGTTGCCCGTGACTGACACCGAAATTTTAAGTCCAAAACTTCGTCACCAAACTTCCGTCGTGCCTTACTCGACTGATAATCGTAGTATCTACTATGGACAAGGATTCATGGGTTCTTTTGATGCACCATCATCCGAATGATCACGGAGAAATCATAAATCCTGATCCGCCAAGGAACACACCGCAATATTCACTTTCAAGCGCGCTTTGAGAGCCTCTGCGAAAGAGAGTCATCTGCACTGAATCGCGAGAGATGTCTCGGATTCAATTAACCATTCGAAGAATTGTCTGCTTTCTCCTTTAGATTTTCTAGCGAGAAGCAAAACAACAGGCCATGCAAGTTTCCTCTGCTGCTTCGGCGTTTTCCATTTACTTAGTTCGATATAGGAATAATATGACGCTGTTGTAGCTTACATGTCTTGAAGCAGTCTTATAAATTTTCTGTCGCAAGAAGCAAACGTACACTCCAAGTAAAAGTGTCCAGTTTTAATTTTGTACAACTTTGTATTGACATACAAAAATCACAGTAATTCGCTATCAAAACAGTTCTATGTGCGAAAATATCTCCTGTGCGAACAAATAAATAAAAAAAGAATGCATCCACTCTGCTTGGCTTCCTTCATGTTAAAAAATCTATTCTGTTTTAAGCAACTGATGACTTGTGACAACGTGGAAACACTGCAAACGATTTCGAAACAGAAGCGTCGGGTGAGGAATACCGCTGTCACAGAGAATCGTCGTTCGGTAGGTCTGTCATGCCGGTAATGACGTCAAAAACTGGCGGGGGATTGGACGCAGCCAACCTGTTTAGCATGAAATAAACAGGAAAAACCAGTCAAGAACTACGCTTTCAAACTCTAAAATCAGTATCAAAAAACCTGCCCGCTGTCAAGATTGTTCAACTGAGATTGAGAACAGGCGAATAAATGAGGGACGCCGGGTGTGAAAAAAACAACTCTTGATATTTCAAAATTCCACCAAACTGCACTAGCCACAAGGCTCGCGCAATTTTAAGAGAATTTTTAAAAATCACGAGTAGTCATTTGGGACTCCCGGAGTACAATTACCAATACTAACAAGGTAATGATTTCATAATTTTCAGCTTCTAAATATTCAACATGTTACCTTAAGTTACCTTATCATTCTATTATGGCTAACAACCTTTCTGGCGCCCGGGCTCGGCCGAGCAGGTGGTGGGCGTGGTAGGCGAGGATACTGCTGTAACTGCTTCTGCAGGCGAACCTTCTCTTCGGAAAGCTTCTGACTTATGAGTTTCATTTGTCTGTTGTACTCCTCCCTTGACACAGATGAACTTTTAGCAGTTTCTCCAACTGCTGTTTTCTCTTCTCTCGGCATTTCCTGTGCTCCACTGTATTCCTTTTTCAAATCAACGTGAATCGATTTCTCTTCAGACGAGCGAGCGCCCGCGGTAATAGAACGACCTTGGTCAGCGGTACTATCGAACCAGCCCACGTGACTATGACTGCTTACAGGGCGTTGATCGTGATTCACAAAAGTTTCAAACGTAGCGTTTGCGCTTGCGTGACGGTCACGTGATTTGTGAGCCGAGCGCGGAGCTTTTCCAACACCAAGCGACCAGGGATCCGTGAACTCGTCTCCGACGCTAATGAATTCGTCCTCGTTGTGAGTAACAGCAGCTTCCTTCTCCCGATTGAAATCCATTTTCTTAAACAGCTCATCCCAGTTTTGTCCCTGATGACCGCTGGTGTTGAAAGCAGAATACTGCCGCGCAGCCTGTCGTTTGGCTAACCGCTGAAGAGCAGCGGCGACTGCGTGTTCATCAGCCAAGCTGTGGCCTGTGGAATGAAATCATAGTTAACCCAAGGTTAATACTTGCATATTAATGACATTTTGAAAATATTAGAGTTTATATCCAATTTAGAACTAAGACTTTCTGTCGATATATAACGTCGAAATCACGAAATGTGGTTCATGAAACTGCATCTGGAGCGAATTTTGATCAATGTATCCTACAATGTATTATTGAAAATCCACTAGCGTTCTATCATGAATGCCGTTCTCTTATTGGCCACGTTACTCACTACCTATTCTGTTGTAGATGGTAAGCAGTCTAGCAGTGTGTTTTTGTTAGCAAAATGGCGGCCGATTCTTTGCATTTTCGAAGTGTCTGTAGGTGTAGCAAATTACATGTCTGTGGTAACAAAAATAACGCACCCGTTCCTCGTTGGGTATTTTTTAAACCTCGTACCCAATGCTGACCGCGCACGTGACTATCTTGTGTCTCACGCATTCATGGCGGCAATTTCAAACTGGTATTTGATTTTTATGGAGTTGCTAATTCCCTACAGAAACAAGGTATGTGCAATTTTATTTTAGAAAAATATTGTTAAACTTTCTCCCCATAAAGACGACGAAGTGGAATGGCAGCAGAAGCCGTTTTTGTGCTAAAATTCGAGCGATTTGCAAACGCTGGAACCTCGTGTCGACTCGACCTCTTTCCTACCTTGCTTTATATTATATGTACATGATATGACATATTGACCAAAAATCGCTCCCAATTAGCTAGCCACACAACGTGGCGATAAAAAGCAACACCAGATACAGCTTCGTGAACTTTTTTCGTGATTTCGACATTATTTTATCGACACAAAGTCTCAGTTCTAAATTACATACAAACTCTTACATTTTAAAATATGGAAATATTATGCTTGGGTTACCTGTGCTTTTTTTTGTGATGTTTTACAAATAACAGCCGCACAGTCAAGTAAAATCAATCACTTCATTATATAACCTAATGAGGGCTTAGTATCTCTGCATATTCTTACGAGTCTTACGAGCCGTGCTAAACCATGACGAACAGACAAATGACACAGGTTAAGCAACTTTAAGCTGCTTTATTTATATTCGCGGGTCTTTTCGAAAGGGTGTGTGAAAACGTGAACGGCAATCTGATTAGAACCAGACACGGAAACAGTAGATGTTTAATATTTTCCCATCTTTCGTCGGCTACAGTTTTGGTGAAATGATATTTCATCCATTACTTTACACACCTCTGAATTCACTGTCAGCGCCTCGGCTGTCGCGGCGGACTGGGGCCGATGAGATACGACTCAGGCGACCACTGTGAGCTATGAAAAGATTAAAATAAGTTAATTAAAAACTGAATTTTATAGTTATTGTTAAGTGAAAGAAACACTTCTGAAATGTTTACACCAAAGACCACGTGTAGAATTACAGTAAGAATCTTTGGCATGTCACGTGATCACTTACCGCCATCCATGCTCCGGGTGTCCCCGAGGTCATCAGCTGTTCTCGTCATATCACGTGAGTGAGGCTTCGCCGATACTGGGCGACCAACGCGGTGAATTCTATCAGTTCCTTAAAATAGATCATTAAATATTTTCACCAGTCAAGGTGCACATACTCTGATTAAGGTGGCTCAAAACAGTTTACAGCACTTAGATTTTGATGGGTCGTTATAACCACTCATTATCACTTGACGCTGCAATCATGGTATTAAGAAACTGCCCAATCATTGGTGAACAGGTTGCTATCATTTTTTGGGACCCAATAGGTTACTATTACTATAGCAACAGTATGACCTGCTAAAAACACCCTTAATTACAGTTTTAGGGGCTTATAATTCAAAAACGGCACGTTGAATTTTTTTATATTATCAAATTCTAATGGACATGATAAGACGCAACTTTTGGCAAAGTTTTTAAAAAAATCTGTACATAGGGTTCAGAGCCACCTTAAAGTTTTGAAAATGAGACTGGAGCCGAAAAAAGTAACTCCACAAAGATCCGTGTAGAGTCTGATACCCTGGTTGGCAACAACCGATCAGAGACCACAGATCTCTCTTGAGCTACGTCATCAGTGTGGATTTTTTCGGGTCCAGGCTCAAACGTCTACCAACCAGGGAACGCGTGTGGAGAAAGCTTTAGCAAACGGCAGCCAACTCTTTGCTCCAAGCCAACACTGATTTTTTTTTTTTTGGCGTGTATTCAACGGATGAAGACGCTAAATATCGCTTTCACCTCACCTTGTGAACTTGCTATCTTGGCTGACACCGGGCGTTGCCTGGTCTTGTTTAGAGCCACTGAGGCGCCATAGGCAGAGACAGCTGTCAGCGCCCTTGCATGTCGATCAATCACTGTAGGGCCTGTGCTACTAAGGTCTTCCGTGGGCTTCATTTCGTCATCAGGAATGGGGTTTGTGCTGACAAAACATGTAAATAAAGAAACGGTTACTTTAGGTGAACGCATCTTTGAGCATACATCAGCAGACAAGAAGGCGAAAATGGATCTACTTCTACTTCTCGACCGAGCTCCTAGTACTAGTCCAAGAATAGTAACTCGCCATATTTACCTCCGGGGGTGCCTGTCCCCTTCTTTTCTCCTAGACAGTACTGAGTCGTTTGGCACTTTGGTAGTGCTCTCCTCCGAGCTCCTTTCTGGTCGACCACCTAAGAACACGCTGGCGTTCTTGTTGAGCCTGGTGTACGTAGTTAAAAGATCTTCCAACTCTGTCTCGCTGTAAAATTCGAAGCAAAACATGGATTACTACAAAGACGAAATTCACAAGAGACAACCCATTGAAACAAATGGATCAGAATGAAATGAGTACCTTGCAATGGCCATAAAAACCTTGAACTCCTCATCCGGGATTTCACCCATGAACGAGTTGCTCCTTGAAAGCCCGTATGTGCGGTTAATCTCCTGCCGCTTCTGAATTTGCATAGTTTCCTGTTGAACAAAAGATCGTGTACACAAAACTACTTGCTAAAGGCTGGTTTCCGTAAGAACGCTACGAACTCTGCATAAATAGTCCAGCTATTGTAACTGTTCTTACTGATTTAATCCTACACATTTTACAATGCGACTACTCCGACCAAGGCCACTATTAAGACAAATTCTTTGCAAATTGACCTCTGCTATTATAAAAGTTTTAAAATATTTACTACTCAAAATGACCACAAATCTGTTGCCTTTGTAATGTGCAGCTTGATTATATGGATAATTTGTTGGAAAACTATTGTTAACCTCCACGATTTTTATTCGTTAAATTTGTAGAAAATTTTGTCGGGCAGCCTTGGTTAGAGAGGTCGCACTGTAATGTTAGTTCTGATAATTTGGCGAAACATAAGACACTATCACCTAGTTTTGCTATTTTTTTTATTATCATCGCCTGTATGCTTGAGGGTTTACTCAGGAGAAGTTATATGTCGATTCTTGAAAATTTATCAGTTTCCCTACATTTTACCTTTCCATAAACACGAACAAAGTCTCCCAGCTGTTTGGCAAGAATTCTTCGTCTGAAAAAGAAAAAGACAATAAATAAATGAAGATTCCTCCCTCGAACTCTTGCTACATAATTATTTTTTTATTTTTTAATCCCCCTCCCCTCTTTTTGCTTTCAATGTCTGCAGTGATGGGCGTTTCTCTTTACAGGATTCCCCTATGTAGATGTGGGAACATTTCTGTTGGTTGCTAACAAACGTAAATGTTCTAGGAGAATTTAAAAGATCGTTCGTACCTAACCGTAACATCATTACAAAGGGTCACTTCAAACACGTCCTCATTTGGCAGGCTCTTTACGCCTTAGCTAACCAGTGTAAAAAATTCAGGGAAACGTCGGCTGACTGGTGGTACAGGAAATAATAACTTCATAATTATCTTTGTCTACTAAGTCACCTGCATTGTGAACTAACCAGCTACGATTTTCTACAATACGTTTCATTTCACATGTCTTACCTGTCGTGTAATGGCAGCTTATGGCTCGGTACAACCACCTTGAATGGCTGTTGTAAATTGCTCGCCGCTTTCTTCAGAAAACGAATCACCAAGTTCTGAACAAGGAAACAGCATATCACAAGAGATGTTAAAACTTTCAACTCTTTCTACGTGATCGAGAGGGACACACACCTTATTCTTAGCCGTTTGTGTCGTCACTAGGCTGTTAAAAATCTACATTACTTGCAAAAAATTTTGAACTATTTTAATTTCAGACAAAAATGTGTCCGAAAATGCAACCGTCCGAAATTTTTAAGCGTCCGAAATTTTAAGCGTTCGAAATATTTACAGTACAGTACAACATTTTTAAGTAGATCCAAAGCCCTAAGTTTCCTTTTTGGTGCGAACTCTAGTTGACGCACTGCTTGAGATAGGTAACGACTTAGTATGATTGTGTTATTTTCTCGTTGGTATATCTCTAAAACCTTGACGCTGCAGTAAAACTGTCATTTTCACAAATGATGTTTCAGTCTAATCGCGTTTTGTAGGCGTAAATTTACTTTAGCTATGTTCCATCACAGTGTCCGAAATTTGTCCGAAATGAGATAAAAAGTGTCCGAGAATTAAACGTCCGCACTTTTTGGGACTGGTATTTTTATCAAGGGAAAATATAGTCATAACTTGCCATTTGATCGTCTTGTTTGGGGTCTGTGCTGTCTCGAGAATCCTCTGAATCATAACTGAAAGAAAAGGCAAGGAAAAATTTAACATAGACTAGTCATTCTCAGCGTAGAATGTTTGACATATCTTTGTCTTTTCAGCCAATCAAAGAAACACCCATAATGTCACGTGACTTCTTTGATGTCCCCGACCTCATGATTAACGTGGCATTTGATTTGTCCCAGGATGTCTAAAATACGTAATAAGCAACAATTGGTACGTTTGTGTCACCATGAAACAGTATGCTCCACAGTCGTTTTGAAGCAACAGCAGTTAAGAGGGATAAAGCCTTACCTGGTATCATGAACCAGTCTTTGCTGGACTCGCTGTAGATACATAGCGAATGCTTGCCTCGCTTGAAGTTTCCTGCAAGAAAAAATACAAACTTTATGAAGCACATCTCGACAATCATTAGTTTCAGGAGACGAACCTTTCGAACAAAACGACAAGCGATCAACAATTAGCACTTCAGAGCTAGGTTGGAATTGTCTTTTGGATAGGCTAACGTCTACAAAAGCCGCTTAATTCTCTTAATCCGCGTGCATAGTCCCCGCCGGAAGAAATTTTCGAGCAACCCTGGAGACAAGAATTGTGTTCTTGACTACTCACGTGAGTGTGCCGGCCTTTGCCATGATGTCATCCACTTTAATTGGCTGGTATCGTGGTTGCGCAGACAGCACACGCTTTGACACTGTTTCGCCGCTGATCGGCACAGGTGGCTTCTGCGCCCGTGTGGCTTCTTGGAGGGCCCTTGGATGGGGGCCAGCCGAGGATAATCGATATGGCGCCTGTGTTTCTGAATCCAATATGGGCTTTAGTCCTGAAGGAAATAACAAACCGCTAAGATGCTACGTTGGACTAAACAGTGCCAAAGTGTAACCCCGCCCCCGCCCCCGCCCCCGCCCCCTTCGTCATCATTATTTCATGCAAAATGCCTTTCAGGGGGTCCTCCTCATTCAAGATTTCAGCTGGCGGAGAATAAACTATACTGTAAGATTATTAAATCGCATGAGTCACACGAACCTTCGGGATGAGAGGCCGACTTCTCCTCCATGTGATTCGTCACCACTTGTCCATCGGGGCTCAATCGGGAAGAGATGGACTTGGCACGAGGTGCTTGCGATGTGTCTTGGCTTGCACTAGGGGTGCCTTGAAAAAGACAAGTGATACGCAGTCAGAACTGCACTAGGTATGACTAGGGTGAATTAAAAATCCACATTTTATGAACCACACGCAGCCCACCAAGAAAAAAGAATATCTCTCTCCTCGCGCCTAATTTATGCCCCACCCGAGAGACGTCTGAGACTGGACCCGAAAAATTCCATACTGATGACGTGCTCTACAGCGTTCCGCATTTCTGATTGGCTGTCAACTTGCGCGCGGAAATTTAAAACCCAGAATATCTAATCAGAGACGCTAGACGGATCTCCCCTTCACTCTCTCTTTCCCAACCTCGAGCACAGAGCTTGCTCGCAGGTTATCCTCATTTACGCTTAGAAACGTTTGCCACTACCTGCACTTGGAGTTGTGGTGCCCAGAGTTTTTTTCGTCCGAAGGAGAGAGGGACTCTGTCAATGAAAACGAAAGAAAATGTCAACGCTTAGCATGTAGAGAGGCCATTTTAAATCATATTCTGTAGAATAAACTGAGAATTTCTTTGGACAACTTTTCAAATGGAGTCACAAAATTGTAAACATCCTTAAACTGATGATAGATTCTGCAGTATCCGAGATATGTTTTCTAAACTCACACGTTGTGTCGTTGTTTACTGAGAACGACTGTTTAGCAAAACTTCCTCATGCGAGAGTGGAGTGCTAACTGTGTTACGTACCCAGCTGTCTAGTTTCCTCTCGTAGCAAACAATTCTCTCCTTGATTCCAACGCAGACAGTATCAGACATCTGACAAATAGTGAATGAAAAACAGAGGAATGATGTTATTTTTCAATCAAGTTAATTAGTGCGGACGATAAGCTTGGAGTAAATAAAATAGAATCCAAATATCTTGTTACCTCTGCCGGTTCAACTACTAGATTAACTTTAGATTGCGATGCTCCGTAAGACGTAATACTCCTAGAAAAAAACCAGCGATTAGGAGAAGTAAATATTTAGTACAGCTCTTGAGAAATGCTCTTTAAGCAGCAAAAGTAGAATGAAAAACAATTATGTTTGACCGTAACGTACCTCGCTCGCGCGCCTGCTGACGAAAAGCTGGCTGTGCTTAGCCTTTGAAAAGAAGGTTTTCTGTGGAGTGATCCACACGAATTAATAACTAATTTATACAGCCTTAGATTAATTCTATTTACGCATTTTAGTATTTCAGCTTTTACGGTGAAGATTCCCCCACTATTGCACTCACCGAAGTTTCTCATTACTTTCTAGCAACGTACTTTCCACATTTAATCAGTTCCTAATATATGATTAACAATTACCTTCCAGGAAACAGTTTAGAGTGCAACATATGATTGTGAGTTGTTCGATGCTCCAGAAATGACCTAAACAGACACACCAAAAAAATCAAAAACGAACATTTAGCAATATAAATTCTTCTGAGAGTGAGCATGACACGATGAAGTCTCTTTTGAAGGACACTACCGATCTTCGCAATCATGAATTTCTTCCACAAAAGAGTTCATACATGTCCAGCAGACTAACTGCAGATTGTATACGAGACATTTAATAATTAAGGGAAAAGTTTCCGCATACTAAACCTAAACTTTTTTTTTGTCCAGTTTTAAAATCTTCAGCCTTCTCTAATTCTTGACTGTACAATGCCATAGAATTTCCTTTGAGTTGCTGAACATGATCCTAACGTTTCTTTCGATTTTTCCAAATAATATACGATAGAGATAAGAATAACGTAAAATCATCAACAAAAAGACACCTTTGTGTGCTGCTAAATTCTCAAAACTAAGACTAAAAGAAATATATGACAATCAGTGACGAGAAATTACATCTGAAACTTAGGACTAGTTGTTTACCCGTAGAGCTCCCAGGAGTCTGGGGAGGGAAAGACTCGTACAAACCCTCCCCTCCTTGAGAATTCATCTCTGGTGTGACGTAATATCCTAATCTCCTCTCCTGTCAAACCATCATCAGTCTTTTTCCTTGTCATTGAAGACAATGGTCTGGAGTTTGAAGTGACGATTCCACCGGCTGTGGCTGATCGCTGCCTCTGTGAAATAATAAATCGGCAGTTTTTAAGAACAAAAGCCACTTTCCACAAATGTACTTAATAGCAAAAAGTTAGGAAAATAAACGATGTTCTGTTTATGATATGAAATATTATTATATGGAGAAGAGTGTTTTACTGGGAACTAAACCACTCGTAGATTCCATACGCCACTTCATCCGGGACCCGAGTGGCGTATTTTCCGTATNTGAGCGAAGCGAACGAGTGAGATATTGTTCTTGCCACTCGAACATAAAATTCATATCTTCTCGCCACCGTGTAATATCCTCTATATATGTATAGGTAATCGTACAAATACGAGTGAGGATTTACATTACGAGTGATATTTGAAAATTCTCTCAAAATTGCACGAGCCTATAGACGAGTGCAATTTGAAAGAATTTTCAAATATCACGAGTAGTGTAAATCCTTAATTGCTCGAGTTTTTAAACGATTACTTTTTTATTATATGACTGAGAAAAGTACGAAAGCGCGTGTGTTAATTTGCACTGCAGTGCAACTTAAGAATTAACGATAAATTGGTCTGCTTTCAGCCAATCACAATGAATTAATTTTCTCAGTCATATATAAAAAGCGTCTTTAAGCACTGGCCAAACGGACTCGCAAGTAGACCCAAGTTTTCAACTTGCGTCTACTTGGGAGTCCGTTTGGCCAGGGCTTTACACCGAGGTCGTTTTCCCTCAACTGGACTCGGCGTCCGATTTTCTAAACCAAGCGCGAAACTTCTTCTGCGGTTTTCGTTTCCGTGACTTTTAATTTCCCACACCTAGGAAAACAACAGCCAAACAAAAGACAGTTGCAAAGGAGGCCAAGTCCCATTACATTGTTACCTGATATCGGTTCTTCTGTGGATAATCCACAAAACGTCGGGTAGGAAGCTTACGAACCATCGGATCATGAGCCACAAAACCTGCCAAGAAAGAGTCGTTCAAAAACAAGATAGTAGTTCCTATTTAATCATAGGTGCCTATGATACGTATTTTGAAAATATAAGGTATTTTTAATAGGTATTTTGAAAATGTAAGGCCCCGAAAACGATGTTTTCGCTCTGAAAACGCATCAAATGTTTTCCGTCCACACCACCCCGGAGAAATTTGAAAACGCAACAATCACCGATCATTGAGTTATTTTTTTGTAAAAAAAATACCTCTTAGTCGGCGCGTCGGGTATGTTATGGACGGGTCAATGGATGAGTGAGTGAGTGAGTGAGTGAGTGAGTGAGTGAGTGAGTGAGTGAGTGAGTGAGTGAGTGAGTGAGTGAGTGAGTGAGTGAGTGAG